ACTTCTCCAGGGTTTTGAAGGAACTAATTTTAAATAACTCCACTCAATGGCTGGCATCACTACCTGGGGAGATCAATCTGTATGCTCGGCATATTTCCATGTTCTCACAAAGCATCAGACTATCCACATCTTTTGGCTCAAATATTAAAAAATACAGGATATTATGGAGGTGCAAAGCTATCAAAATCATAGAGAAAAGCTCACCTCTCCTACTCCAGCACAAGAAATCATCTATCAAAACAGTCACGAGAGCTTACAGCACCCCAAAAACTCTACAACCACTTGCACTGGGGTTTCAAAGTATGGAAAATAAAACCATGAATCTTTCACTCCACGTGTGCAGCCTCCTGCTACATAAGCTGAGGAAGAATACGTTCTTCACTCTTTTGGCATCACAGACTTCAGCAGTTAACTGAAAATAATCTATTTGGATAGCAACAGTAGCACAACAGGTTGATTTACATTTTTAGGGTATGCTTCCCACCCTGATGTGTGCCTCCCATCTAAATACACAATAAGCAGAGCAAAATGAGATAGGAGATGCAACCAAAGTTAGGCAGTTAACAGCAGCTGAAATGGTTTTACTATTACAAAGTTTTCAAGAATTAGAAGGAAGCTTTAAAAATTGCCCTCAGAGCATTTAGAGAGTCAAATGCTCCTGTACTACATGGTAGCCATAATAATTTATACATTAAAATATTAATAGAAATCATTCATAATGATAAAAGTAGTATATACAGCAATGTAAACAATTAGTGAAACGACAGAAAGGGGGAAGAGGAGGAACTATACCATGATTATAGTCTGCAAACATAAATCATGGTGAATTATCTAGGGCCAAAACAGCACAATGAGGCATCATAGTAGGAAATCAGGAAAAGCAAAAAGTCACAATGAAAATCAGGAAAATACAGTTCCTTGCTGGAAGAGTTCAGACTGATTTATTTATTTGTTAGGAATATAGAGAGTTACTACTTGACTCAAAAGCAAGACTAGACAATACCCTGGAAAAGAGATTACTAGAAAGAAGTCACCTTTCTACTGGTAATGATTAGACCCAACATACCAAAACACTTGCTTAGATTGGTCTGCTTGTCAATGAAAACCTTGGCAGAGACGACATTTCCAAACGGCATGAACATCTGCAGCAGATCCTGATCCCCAAACTCCTGGGGGAGATGGTAGATGAACAGATTGGCTCCCTCCGGACCTTCAAACAAGTAGGAATATAAATTCAGAAAGAGCACAGGTAACACAGGCCCACTTCACAAAAAAAGTTGAAAGAGCCATTCAAGCCAAATTTTCTAGATAAAACAATGAAACTGCTGTTCGCACTTCTGCGCAGTACTTCATTCCAGAATAAATCAGCACCATCCTTTGGGATTGATCATTCAAATAATTCTAGCTCTTTCTCACCATTTTCGCTCGTAATTTCCACATTGTGCCACAACTGGTTCTCAGATCTTTGCTGTAATGAAAGCTGAACAGTAAGTTTGAGCCCCAGATGCTGACTAAACCAAAACTGGCCATGCAAAGCTTGTGGCCCAAAGAAACTACGCAAAATTTCAGTACAAAAATACAAGTAATAGCATTACTCATCATCTGACACTCTTTTCTAAATATCACCCTACGTTCTGCTGCAAACTTACTCCTACGTTCCTTATGACTTTACACTACATGTTAAATTGACTCTGGATCTGAAGAGATCGGCGTTAAGTACCCGTGGGAAGAGGTGGAGGTCCAAGCAAACAAAATTAACCAAACCACAACTGATTCTCTGGCAGTAGGATGTACCAGGCTGAAGACTCACACTCTCCTGTCCTCCGAGAAAACGGAGGAGTACAATTCCTAAGCATTTAAGACTAGACAAATCCTGGGAGAAACCTCCTGTATAAAAACTGCTTTGGACAGCCCTTAACAGAGAGACCTCACAGGTTTCCCTCTTTATCTTTTGTAACTCCAGGATTCTAAAAAAACACTGCCAAAAAAAGCCCTGCAGATACAGTAGCTGCAAGGGCTGAGTTGGCCCTTTTGAAAATCCCTCTCGAGTTGTTTCTCCAACTTTCTGCCTACCTTCTTTCTGACTTCCCGCTGCACCGATACTCTGCTGTGTCAGGAGACTCTGGTTATAGAGTGTGGGCAGTGCAGCAGCAGCATATTGCTGGATTCCAGAATAGGCCTGCGTGAGGGCTTCCATTGTGCTACCCGTGCCATTGGAGAGACCACCACTGCCAAGTCCTCCATTTAAGGCTGCCATTCCTGCGTAAGAAAGAGGAAATAAAGATGACTGAGTGCTTCCACTGAGACAGATCAACTACCTTTTGAGTACTCAGCACTATTACTAAAAGCAGGGAGCAGGAAAAAACCCCAGAGGACTAGCTCAGCCTGAGAAATGATAATCAGCCATGCCCCCAGCCCACCACAACACAGCTTACCTGCTAAAGAGCTCACGTTGAGGCCCGCCGTGGCCCCTGCCAGTGTCTGCAACGCTCCAAGAGAAGCCATTGGATTAACAGAGGAGCTGCTACTGGAGCTAGGTGAGGAACCTGCTATTAAAATAAGATAATTAAGCTTCAAGCAAGATCCTGATAATTCAACTTCTTCATTAAGTTATTTCTGTAGTACGGAACAGATCAAGGCAACGCAGCATACACTATGTCAATAAAAGAATCCCAAACCCACACCACTTGATTGATCATACTGCTTGTATCTTCTAATTCCTTCCTACGTTCTCGAAAAATTTCCACTTCCTCATAGTGTCTACTCTTCATAGCAATAATAATTTCATTAAGTGTAAGACACCTGAGATTCAGACAACACAGGAATGTCAGCTAAACTTTGTACCTCAACAGAGGGTGACCAGCAGCAATGCCTGTTTCCTGCTGGCTAAAGAAAGAATCACTTGCTACAAGGTGAAAAAGACTTGAGGTACAGATACTAGGGACATTAAGGAAAGCTCTACTCAAACTGAACATGTTCTCATACTGCCAGAACAGGAACAGCAGATGCCCAGATTATTCTGACACATGAAATAATTCTTCATCAAAATTCTTGCTGCAGCAGCTGGAGCTAGGGCCAAGAAAAGCCTTGGAGTGTACATTCAAAATACATAGTCTATCCTCTGCTGAATGCGCCACTAACACCTTCAACCATGTTTACTCAGTCTACAGATACAGTACCTGCCAGACTGACAGCTTACACTGTCAAATTCTACAACAGGTAGAGCCAGCTCTACAGAAACAGGCAGCAAAACCATGAGAAGAAAGTTTGCCAAGCTGCTATGTCAAAAGAAACCAATGTTCAAATTCAGGTCATCTACAAAGATGATAGACATGATAACACAAGAAAATAATAGTATTTTTATGATTACATATCAGTGGGTTTCCTAACAGGTTTGTGGACTACTTAGAAATCTGAAGAGGGTAAATAGGAAAAGCTATGCATATTGCTATTAACCCAGAAGTTTAAATTTACTGCACAAGACGCACTGGAAAACATTTATGGCTTCTACAAATTAAAAAGATATTGAAGACTGGTGGTGTAGAGGCATCCTGTAGTCTGCTTTCAAGAGGAATTGATATGTCTGACCAAGCGGGTAACAGAGGAACTGAAATTCAGGCATTTTCAGTTTCCTTTGTGCTTTTGTGGTTCTCAGGTACGCTGTGTACATCCATTAAAACTTTCAAAAGGATTGTTAGCATCTTTCAAGCAGATT